AGTATGCAGTTTTGTCGTCTATTAAATAAGTGTTAGTATAATAAAGAGTAAGTTTCAAGTCGCCGAGGTTGTTGCGCATTTGCTTTCACATATCGCCTCAACACAATAGGGCTGTTCAGGATCTTGTGCATATGCACTTGAATTTGCTTATTCATTGCGTTTGTAAATTCACAACCATGAAATGCACACCGTTTCCGTGGCAGCAAAACAAAAATTTGCAAATGCAATTCCAACTGCAAATCCAAGGCCATTTCCACAACATTCTGAAGAGCCCTAATATTTTTGTCGATAAAAATTTCTTGCATTTTCCCCGAGTTCTGTGTGAAACTAAACAAAATTATTATTGTGTTTATTGCTGTTGAATGAACTATATTTTTATAAAAAAATATAAGAACAATTTAGTATAGAAAATATAAATAAATAAAATCGTCGTATTTTTGAAGCTGACTGTATGTTCATTAGGGTGGCCCAGAACTTTTTATCGAAATTCGATATGAAAGGTGCATATTAATTGTTGTATTATCGGCTGAATAACTCATACAAAAAGGCATATTGCTACAATTAAAATAATGATAACCTGTACAAACTTGGGTTGAAATCTTAATCAAGACTTGCGCAATGATTAGCACCCCAAGCGACAATACTTCTCATACATAAAAAATGTGGTTACGCGTGCGAAAATGGAGCTCTATCGTAGTAAATCGATGTGTGTAGTGTTTCAATATGCTATTGGAGGTAAAAAAAAAAATGTTAAAAGAAGTTCCATATTTGTTTTATTTAATTCACCTCACATGACATTCTCACCGAAAACCCTTAACGAAGTTATTTATTTTTCAATATTCAGGACTGTGTCTAGATATCATATGACAGAGAAACATTTAGTCTGGACGGAGTATTTCAGATATCGGGCAACTTCCGGTTCATCCAGCCTTACCTGCTTAATGTGCATCTCTGCCCGTCCGCATCCAGCACTCGTGAGGCTAATTATGGATAAAAACGCAAAGCGGTCTAAGAAAAAACCAACAAAAGCATCAGCAAGCTTTGTTAATCCGAAAAGAGGGCACTGTGTTTCCCTCTTGTAATACTGCGAAAAGAAATTAGTTTGCATTTCCCTGGATTGGCTAGAAACAGATGGTCAGATGGTCAGTAAGGTATCAGGAACTGCCGCAGTCGTCAGCTAGAAACTGGCGAAGAAATTTCCCAGCACTTCCTGTATGACGGTATACGCCTTTCGAATATTAGATATAAAACACTAGGAAGACAATTACTTTGTAACGCCACTAACAGGCACATCACGAGTTACCGTAAACGAAGCAGACATATTCATTAGAGAATCAAGGTGTTTCGACCAAACAGCACGGGATACTCATTGACATAACATTTTCGACTAGAAGTGCCATAGTTTGACCATCGAGCGTCATGTGCCGCATATAATTAGCCGGCCACCCTCCGGGCCGCGGTAGGGCCAAGGGCTTTACAAGAATATACATCTCTTAAGTCTCCCATATTGGACTTAGAATCAAGAGGAATTCGTGCAGATGCAAGAGGCCATTCTATAGGCAAAGTGGAGATATTCCAAGAGTTCAACCCAGAACTCCCAATATACAATAGAAGAAGCCTCAATATGTAGCAAACATACAGGTAGTTTTGCTTTTCAACAACGAAAGCTTGAAGATTATACCCAGAAGGGACAAGTAGGCTAACGATGTCTTCAGAAAGATCAAGGCCTACAAAACCAGCCTACAGTTTTAATGACCATAAAATGTCTGAAAAGTAAAATATTTTTTTAATTTGTTTTTTTTTTAATTGTTATCAATATCCTTGAAAACCCAAAAACTTGATTTTACTATATTGGGCTTTATTACTGCACAAACTACTGATTTTTCAAGTGAGGAAAATATATATGCCTTTTGCACAACTTCCTAAGAAAAGCAAAAAAAAAAAGGAAGAAGGTATACATTTCGCCTTTCTCACAAAAAAAAAAATGGCACCCTTACATTCTGGGACATCCTAATGTTCATTTATTTTATATGCATTAAGTTTTCTTATCCATATACATATATATACACTTCCATACATAAATACAAAATTGGACTCATAAAGGCTGCGTTCGGTAGTCCTGTTAAATACTACATAAAAATCAAGTTGAACCATAAAATTAAAGATACATACAAAATTTAATTTTTTATTTTATTACTTTGAAATATTTTGCATTTTGTGTATGTATTTGTGATATTTTATTTATAAAAGCAATGAAATGCCAGCATAGTGGGATTGCTACATACGTAAGTATATGTGATTATAAAACTAAATATTTGGAGAATACATAAATTATGTACATACATAGTTACTATGCGTAATATTTTAAAATTCATTTGATGTGCAAAAGTTTTGAATTGTGCAATAAAACAAAATGCTGAAACTTGTTACCAAAAATTGATGTTCTTTTGCAATACAAAAAAAGCAACAAAGTAAATTTTAATGAAAATAAAGAATGATTTTGAATGAAAACAAATGTTTTACATATATTTTATTACTCGTCAGTAAAGTGGCCATAATTTATTAATTTATTAGCCAATGAATACAAAATTCTTACTTGCTAGGAAGGCTAAGGCGAAATATCCATACCACTACACTGATTAAATTCTGTTAATTTGCTAACCAGTGTGACCAGGTCAGCCGTTTTGAGGCGAAAATTATCAATTATATTTTTGCTCTAAGCTCGGATTTTTGGGCCTTTCTCTGGCTCTTTTAATGCTGCCCTTTTATAAATTATTTAAATATTTTTAATACTCTGCAGACTGGCCGGAATCGAATTTTTTTAGCCTAAATTCTAAGAGGAAAGTTAGATATCTTTTTCAAAATCGGTACATATGTTATTCATGCTGCGAGTAGGTAAGGGTAAACATTTTTTGTCGATCAGATCATCCGTAGGCCCTGCTTGCCCCGATCCCCCCATATTTTTAAATTTATTTCGTCTGAAACCCATATTGTGAAACATATTTCAAATAACTATTTGCCGCAATTCAGGTTGCTTATTTTTTTTTACACATATGGCAACTCTACTAAGTTAAGTTCATAAATACAGCATTTCAGAGGATGAGTGAATCGTCATTAAAAAAAATTAGCAAACCTTGAAGGGTATATACATATCAATGTAATAAATAGTCTTTTTTGTCAAACTCGTTTTCATACATGATGATCACTTATAATCATTTATTGAACAGCAAAACCTGCTCAAATTAAGGCTTGAATTTTCGACTACATTTTAATTAAATACCATCCCTGACCCTTAACCCTAAGTCTCTTATAGTTATATATTTATTTGACAGAAAAAACCGATTTTGGCAAATTTTTTTGTCAATAGCAGAGTATTCCAGTAGTTTTATATTATTCAATAAATGACTATTAGTGACCATCAGGTTAAGGTGCAGGGATGGTATTTTCAGTGATAGTAGCCGAGAGTTGGAAGGTGCTATCACATTTTGTTTTTTTTGCTAGACCTTCTAAAATATTGCAAAAAAAATGTGATTTTTTAACACTTTGACCTAGTTTTTCTCAAAATCTGGACCTGATGGATACTATATACTAACGGATTCGTAATCAGCGCAAAAAAGAATCTCAAAAAATTTTGAATGCAAATTGGTGGATATTTAATACACCTTCATTTGTCAGGGATATCTATATATTATTTTCCATAAAACGAACCGCAGTTTTCATGGCATAAAAACAAAAATATAAAACTTTATAAGAGTTGTTACAATATTCAATAAACATATAGGTAATTCAATATTTAGTAAATACAGTTGTATGTAAAAGAATGGCACATGGTCGGTTTCACACAAATATTGCTCTTCGTACAATACCATCGGATGTACCAATATAAACCCAATTGTTGGCGCCACAAACGATTGCATTCACACAACTTCCGACCTCTACTTCACCTAGGGGTGTTGGTTTTGCCTGATCAAAATTTGTCCAGCCTTTGACTTTGTTGTCATAGCCACCGCTATAAAGATTTTTCTCGTCACCGCAAATCGCTTGAATGATCAGCTCATGGCAGTCCTGGAAAATAAATACATAAATATGTAAGTATTCCTTTTGTTGGCAAAGTTTACATTAAACGTAGAATAACTATCAAAACACCGTGAAAAGGATTATTCAGGTAATGGTTGTCCTTAGCAAAGGAATGATGAAACTACAAGGGATTTTTTGGTGCGAAATACACATGTATGTACATTAGGGTAGTCCAAAATGCTTGTTAAAAAGTAAAGTCGGAATTTTTATACTCACACTCCCTAGGATTGTTCTATACCGAAATTTTTTTATTTTGAAATCAGAAAATATTTAGAGGTCGTTCAAAGCCCTCAAAGTTTTCAATGGAATTTATATGAAAAAAATCACTTTTCGTAGAAAATGCAAATGGGGATAAATAAAAAATCTTGAGTATAAAAAAATGGGGAAATAAGCAATTTGGTATTATTATTGGGAAGTCTCCTGAAGAGAATTAATATTCGAGAATTCTATACCATTTCTACAAAAAGTTGGTTTTTTCCCTCATATAAAATACATGGAAAACTTTGAGCGCTTTGAGAGACATCTAAATATTTTTTAATTTTAAAATAAAAAATAGGGGTATATATATTGTTTTATATAAAACCATCCTAGGAGGCGAGAGCGTTAAAATTATGACTTTATTTATTTTGAATCACCCTAATGTACATCTTTGCGTAAGTGACTGGAGTTCTGTAAAATTTCGAAAATACTATCAACAAAATCTGAGCAGGAACATTGAATCAGAACTGAAAAACAAACGTCAGTAACGGGAACTAGGTATGCTGATCAAGGAGACTTAAGTTTTCTCTCCTAACTTACCTGTAAATTCCACACAATCTCGAACTTTTGTAGCGGCAAATTCTTCGCAAACGTCAAACCTTTACCGGTACGATCAGCATATGTGAGGAATGTTCGTTTACCATCCAATACGGGTCCGACTAAAGTCATTGGCTGCTGAAAAATCTCTTATTTATACTGTGCGTGATTTGGATGTGGTTATATCGGAAATGAGCGCTGGTAAATCGGGTAAATATAGCAATAAAGCAGTGCTTCCGGGTAAATCGCCAATGACTTTAGTCGGACCCGTATTGGATGGTAAACGAACATTCCTCACATATGCTGATCGTACCGGTAAAGGTTTGACGTTTGCGAAGAATTTGCCGCTACAAAAGTTCGAGATTGTGTGGAATTTACAGGTAAGTTAGGAGAGAAAACTTAAGTCTCCTTGATCAGCATACCTAGTTCCCGTTACTGACGTTTGTTTTTCAGTTCTGATTCAATGTTCCTGCTCAGATTTTGTTGATAGTATTTTCGAAATTTTACAGAACTCCAGTCACTTACGCAAAGATGTACATTAGGGTGATTCAAAATAAATAAAGTCATAATTTTAACGCTCTCGCCTCCTAGGATGGTTTTATATAAAACAATATATATACCCCTATTTTTTATTTTAAAATTAAAAAATATTTAGATGTCTCTCAAAGCGCTCAAAGTTTTCCATGTATTTTATATGAGGGAAAAAACCAACTTTTTGTAGAAATGGTATAGAATTCTCGAATATTAATTCTCTTCAGGAGACTTCCCAATAATAATACCAAATTGCTTATTTCCCCATTTTTTTATACTCAAGATTTTTTATTTATCCCCATTTGCATTTTCTACGAAAAGTGATTTTTTTCATATAAATTCCATTGAAAACTTTGAGGGCTTTGAACGACCTCTAAATATTTTCTGATTTCAAAATAAAAAAATTTCGGTATAGAACAATCCTAGGGAGTGTGAGTATAAAAATTCCGACTTTACTTTTTAACAAGCATTTTGGACTACCCTAATGTACATACATGTGTATTTCGCACCAAAAAATCCCTTGTAGTTTCATCATTCCTTTGCTAAGGACAACCATTACCTGAATAATCCTTTTCACGGTGTTTTGATAGTTATTCTACGTTTAATGTAAACTTTGCCAACAAAAGGAATACTTACATATTTATGTATTTATTTTCCAGGACTGCCATGAGCTGATCATTCAAGCGATTTGCGGTGACGAGAAAAATCTTTATAGCGGTGGCTATGACAACAAAGTCAAAGGCTGGACAAATTTTGATCAGGCAAAACCAACACCCCTAGGTGAAGTAGAGGTCGGAAGTTGTGTGAATGCAATCGTTTGTGGCGCCAACAATTGGGTTTATATTGGTACATCCGATGGTATTGTACGAAGAGCAATATTTGTGTGAAACCGACCATGTGCCATTCTTTTACATACAACTGTATTTACTAAATATTGAATTACCTATATGTTTATTGAATATTGTAACAACTCTTATAAAGTTTTATATTTTTGTTTTTATGCCATGAAAACTGCGGTTCGTTTTATGGAAAATAATATATAGATATCCCTGACAAATGAAGGTGTATTAAATATCCACCAATTTGCATTCAAAATTTTTTGAGATTCTTTTTTGCGCTGATTACGAATCCGTTAGTATATAGTATCCATCAGGTCCAGATTTTGAGAAAAACTAGGTCAAAGTGTTAAAAAATCACATTTTTTTTGCAATATTTTAGAAGGTCTAGCAAAAAAAACAAAATGTGATAGCACCTTCCAACTCTCGGCTACTATCACTGAAAATACCATCCCTGCACCTTAACCTGATGGTCACTAATAGTCATTTATTGAATAATATAAAACTACTGGAATACTCTGCTATTGACAAAAAAATTTGCCAAAATCGGTTTTTTCTGTCAAATAAATATATAACTATAAGAGACTTAGGGTTAAGGGTCAGGGATGGTATTTAATTAAAATGTAGTCGAAAATTCAAGCCTTAATTTGAGCAGGTTTTGCTGTTCAATAAATGATTATAAGTGATCATCATGTATGAAAACGAGTTTGACAAAAAAGACTATTTATTACATTGATATGTATATACCCTTCAAGGTTTGCTAATTTTTTTTAATGACGATTCACTCATCCTCTGAAATGCTGTATTTATGAACTTAACTTAGTAGAGTTGCCATATGTGTAAAAAAAAATAAGCAACCTGAATTGCGGCAAATAGTTATTTGAAATATGTTTCACAATATGGGTTTCAGACGAAATAAATTTAAAAATATGGGGGGATCGGGGCAAGCAGGGCCTACGGATGATCTGATCGACAAAAAATGTTTACCCTTACCTACTCGCAGCATGAATAACATATGTACCGATTTTGAAAAAGATATCTAACTTTCCTCTTAGAATTTAGGCTAAAAAAATTCGATTCCGGCCAGTCTGCAGAGTATTAAAAATATTTAAATAATTTATAAAAGGGCAGCATTAAAAGAGCCAGAGAAAGGCCCAAAAATCCGAGCTTAGAGCAAAAATATAATTGATAATTTTCGCCTCAAAACGGCTGACCTGGTCACACTGGTTAGCAAATTAACAGAATTTAATCAGTGTAGTGGTATGGATATTTCGCCTTAGCCTTCCTAGCAAGTAAGAATTTTGTATTCATTGGCTAATAAATTAATAAATTATGGCCACTTTACTGACGAGTAATAAAATATATGTAAAACATTTGTTTTCATTCAAAATCATTCTTTATTTTCATTAAAATTTACTTTGTTGCTTTTTTTGTATTGCAAAAGAACATCAATTTTTGGTAACAAGTTTCAGCATTTTGTTTTATTGCACAATTCAAAACTTTTGCACATCAAATGAATTTTAAAATATTACGCATAGTAACTATGTATGTACATAATTTATGTATTCTCCAAATATTTAGTTTTATAATCACATATACTTACGTATGTAGCAATCCCACTATGCTGGCATTTCATTGCTTTTATAAATAAAATATCACAAATACATACACAAAATGCAAAATATTTCAAAGTAATAAAATAAAAAATTAAATTTTGTATGTATCTTTAATTTTATGGTTCAACTTGATTTTTATGTAGTATTTAACAGGACTACCGAACGCAGCCTTTATGAGTCCAATTTTGTATTTATGTATGGAAGTGTATATATATGTATATGGATAAGAAAACTTAATGCATATAAAATAAATGAACATTAGGATGTCCCAGAATGTAAGGGTGCCATTTTTTTTTTGTGAGAAAGGCGAAATGTATACCTTCTTCCTTTTTTTTTTTTGCTTTTCTTAGGAAGTTGTGCAAAAGGCATATATATTTTCCTCACTTGAAAAATCAGTAGTTTGTGCAGTAATAAAGCCCAATATAGTAAAATCAAGTTTTTGGGTTTTCAAGGATATTGATAACAATTAAAAAAAAAACAAATTAAAAAAATATTTTACTTTTCAGACATTTTATGGTCATTAAAACTGTAGGCTGGTTTTGTAGGCCTTGATCTTTCTGAAGACATCGTTAGCCTACTTGTCCCTTCTGGGTATAATCTTCAAGCTTTCGTTGTTGAAAAGCAAAACTACCTGTATGTTTGCTACATATTGAGGCTTCTTCTATTGTATATTGGGAGTTCTGGGTTGAACTCTTGGAATATCTCCACTTTGCCTATAGAATGGCCTCTTGCATCTGCACGAATTCCTCTTGATTCTAAGTCCAATATGGGAGACTTAAGAGATGTATATTCTTGTAAAGCCCTTGGCCCTACCGCGGCCCGGAGGGTGGCCGGCTAATTATATGCGGCACATGACGCTCGATGGTCAAACTATGGCACTTCTAGTCGAAAATGTTATGTCAATGAGTATCCCGTGCTGTTTGGTCGAAACACCTTGATTCTCTAATGAATATGTCTGCTTCGTTTACGGTAACTCGTGATGTGCCTGTTAGTGGCGTTACAAAGTAATTGTCTTCCTAGTGTTTTATATCTAATATTCGAAAGGCGTATACCGTCATACAGGAAGTGCTGGGAAATTTCTTCGCCAGTTTCTAGCTGACGACTGCGGCAGTTCCTGATACCTTACTGACCATCTGACCATCTGTTTCTAGCCAATCCAGGGAAATGCAAACTAATTTCTTTTCGCAGTATTACAAGAGGGAAACACAGTGCCCTCTTTTCGGATTAACAAAGCTTGCTGATGCTTTTGTTGGTTTTTTCTTAGACCGCTTTGCGTTTTTATCCATAATTAGCCTCACGAGTGCTGGATGCGGACGGGCAGAGATGCACATTAAGCAGGTAAGGCTGGATGAACCGGAAGTTGCCCGATATCTGAAATACTCCGTCCAGACTAAATGTTTCTCTGTCATATGATATCTAGACACAGTCCTGAATATTGAAAAATAAATAACTTCGTTAAGGGTTTTCGGTGAGAATGTCATGTGAGGTGAATTAAATAAAACAAATATGGAACTTCTTTTAACATTTTTTTTTTTACCTCCAATAGCATATTGAAACACTACACACATCGATTTACTACGATAGAGCTCCATTTTCGCACGCGTAACCACATTTTTTATGTATGAGAAGTATTGTCGCTTGGGGTGCTAATCATTGCGCAAGTCTTGATTAAGATTTCAACCCAAGTTTGTACAGGTTATCATTATTTTAATTGTAGCAATATGCCTTTTTGTATGAGTTATTCAGCCGATAATACAACAATTAATATGCACCTTTCATATCGAATTTCGATAAAAAGTTCTGGGCCACCCTAATGAACATACAGTCAGCTTCAAAAATACGACGATTTTATTTATTTATATTTTCTATACTAAATTGTTCTTATATTTTTTTATAAAAATATAGTTCATTCAACAGCAATAAACACAATAATAATTTTGTTTAGTTTCACACAGAACTCGGGGAAAATGCAAGAAATTTTTATCGACAAAAATATTAGGGCTCTTCAGAATGTTGTGGAAATGGCCTTGGATTTGCAGTTGGAATTGCATTTGCAAATTTTTGTTTTGCTGCCACGGAAACGGTGTGCATTTCATGGTTGTGAATTTACAAACGCAATGAATAAGCAAATTCAAGTGCATATGCACAAGATCCTGAACAGCCCTATTGTGTTGAGGCGATATGTGAAAGCAAATGCGCAACAACCTCGGCGACTTGAAACTTACTCTTTATTATACTAACACTTATTTAATAGACGACAAAACTGCATACTAAAATTTTTTCTAAGAAATCGAATTGAAGAATAGAAAGATTCGATTAAAAATTTTTGGTATTTCTAACAAACTCCCGAGTTCTGCATGAAACTAAAAAAAGTTATCTTGTGGCTTTTGCTGTTGAATGAAGTATATTTTTATAAAAACAACAAGAAATAATTGGTTTGAAAAATATAAATAGTTAAATAAAATCGTCAAATGTTAGGCTATGCATATTTTTGACTCTGACTGTATGTACGTAAGTAGCTAAGTTCAAATGGTATGTATGTATATGTATTTAGTATGTATGTATTTGTACAAAAATAAGTATTAATGCCTTTTATGAAATTGCTTGTGTGTAATGATAATCTCTAACTGTTCATTTCTATGCAGCCTTTCTGTATAAAACACCTACGCATACCTACTACAAATACACATTAAAAATAATTGTTACCATGCTCCTTAGTATTCTGGCTGTTTGTAAGGATTGTCGCTCTGCATAAATTTATTTTTATTTAGAAATTCTTGATGCTTTTGTTATACGCTTTCTCCTTCTTATCCCTTTAATTTGCATCAAATAAAATATATAATTACCAAATAGCATTTTTTTTTACTTTTCACATTCATTGTACGAGTATGTATTATGAGTATTTTCCTAATTAAATTATTTTATTTACTCTCCAATTTATACAAATCCTTGTTGATTTACTTGACATTTATTATTTGTATATACCTAAACACATATAAACAGTAATATTTATATCTAACACTTTCGTTTAAATATTTACATACAATTTGGTTTGTTTGCTGGTAGAACATGTTTTTTTTTGCTTGACTTTTCCTCTTTTATTTGTGGTATGCAAATTTAATACTTTTGTTTTTCATTTCACTTTCATCACGCAATATAGCACAATTATACACCTTTCCCACTTCTTGCCGTCGTTTATCGGAAGAACGTCATCATTTAAAATTTGTGGTGTTAATAAAAATATGCAAACGCAGCTGCCAACCGCCATATCGGCCAACTGTGTGCTTTAGGAGACACATTTCTTTTCTTTCTTACAAATTTACTCCTTTCCATTTTACTAAGCAACTATGCATAACAAGAAAACTTTCCGTCTTTGACTAAACGAAGAAATCAAATTCGGAATGGATTACCGTTTTATTCTCTAGTTCAAATCGTGCGCTTGCATTTATTATTATTATTTTTTTTTATATAAGGGGAAACTCATTTAAAAACTATAAATTGGTGTTTTTCATTTTTTTATATTCACTGAAATGAGACGTTCTTACAAAAAACGAGCGAAATGTATATTGAAATATTTAAGTATACTACAAAAACTATGTAGTTTGCTAGCGTTTTTACATATATTAATTTATTCGAAAGCCAGTTAGGATAGGTTTGGAATGACTGTAGAGCAGCCTCTTTGTGATTCTCGCCAGTTAGGATGAGTTAAATTGTTTAAACTAACCTACTAATAAACTTAATAGAAAAAAAAAACAATATCCATGCATCCTCATGCAAATAGTATCTTTAAGTCCGAGACTGTAGAAGGCGCCATGAATCGTCCCTATTTAGGCGTATCCTCGCAAAGAGTCCTATATCCTTGGGAATCTTAAGGAGCGGGAAGGGCAACTGAAGGATGAGCGAAGTGGAGTCGCTTAGGCTACTCCTTTGTCCTCATTTCCCAGCCAATTCTGCAACGTGTGTTGGTACGGTGGTCTATACTGCTTCTACCGGTGAACTAAGTACTAAAGAAGTATCGAATGCTCTGGGCGATTGACTCTTTCAAGCTTTTAAAGTCCCCTGAACTGGATGGTATTACACTGGTCTACAAGGGTTTTGCGAATAAGACGGGACCTGGTGTTTCCGAACGGATTTTTCGTGCTGAACACGAATCTGGGGTCCAAAACTTCCCATCACGTCACGTTTTCGAGAAAAAAGGGGTTGAAACCCCTAAAAACAGCGTTTTTGGCCATTTTCGAAAAATTATAGAGCTGAACCCTGACGTGGTACAAATTTTGCATATATCAGAAATTAAAGGCTAAATCGTGCCCTTTCGAATGAGCCCTATGCCGAATTAATCGCATGCACCCTTAGATCAGGGGGTGTATTTGTGTCTAGGAGTCCAGGGAAAATTGATCGCAGAAAGAATTTCATCTTAAACGACCATATAAAATGAATGATGCTAAGGTCTTAACTACATTAAGAGTCGCTGATTACGAATCTGAAGTTAGATTTTAAAAATTCAAAATCCTACGTACCATAATTTATTGAACATTATTAAATTTGAAATTTTTATATCCACCATATTCGACCCGTCATCTTAAATTTTTAAAATCTAACTGCAGATTCGTAATCAGCGACTTTTAATATAGTTAAAACCTTGGCATTATTAATTTTCTATGATCGTTTAAGATTAAATTCTTTCTGTGATCAATTTTTCCTGCACCCCTAAACACAAATACACCCCCT